TTATATAGACCACATATTGATAAATTATTCTACATTCCTTAAAGACCTTATTTACCTGCTGGAACATTAAGAGATTAAATTATATATCCACATACAAAATTATAAATGTTAAGAAAGAAAGTAACAGATGATGATTTAACTGAATTATTGAGATTAGTTCATTTGGATTATTTAGTTGTAAGAGAAGGAGGATATGATAAATGTAATGATTGGAATGATGTATTGAGTGGAGGTGAAAAATAAAGAATTGCTATGGCTAGACTATTTTATCATAAACCAGTATTTGCCATATTAGGTATAGATTTTTTATTATATTGTTAGATGAATGCACTAGTGCAGTCTCAATGGATGTAGAAGCTACCTTATATTAAACTGCAAAAATGTTAGGAATCACTCTCTTCACAGTTAGTCATAGACCTTCATTATTTAAACATCATGATTATATGATCTAATTTGATGGAGAATAAGGATGGAATTTTAAAAAGATAGAACATAGTTCAGAATGATAAATAATAAAATATATATATATATATAATATGTCTAGAATTAGTGATTTTGAAATACTCAATCGTTTGGGTGAAGGATCCTATAGTTAAGTTTATAAAGTTATCAGGAAATCAGATCAATAAATTTATGCTATGAAGAAAGTTAAACTTTTTGATTTGAAAGAAAAAGAAAAGGAAAATGCTCTTAACGAAGTTAGAATATTGGCTTCATTTGATGATCCCAATATTATTAATTACAAAGATGCTTTTATAGATGATAATATGCTATATATAATTATGGAATTTGCTACATAAGGTGATTTACAAAACAAAATTAAATAAGCTGGCAATCAATTATTACCTGAAACAGAAATATGGAAGGCATTAATATAAATTACAAAAGGGTATATATCATATCATTTAATTTAGTCTTAAGAAATTACATGACAATAAAATTGTTCATAGAGATTTAAAAACTGCAAATATATTTATATCTAATGGTAATTATAAACTAGGTGATTTGAATGTCTCCAAAGTTACTAAAAAAGGTTTTGCATATACATAAACAGGAACTCCTTATTATGCAAGTCCAGAAGTATGGAGAAATGAAGCATATAATTCTATGAGTGATATTTGGAGTTTAGGATGTGTAATCTATGAAATGGCTTCACTTAAATTACCTTTCAAAGCTCCTGATTTATAAGCATTATGCAATAAAATATAAAGAGGACTCTTTGAATGTTTACCAAAATAATATTCCAGAGATTTATAATAAATCATTGTTTAAATGATCTAAGTTCAACCTATGAAAAGATTATCATGCAATCAAATTCTACAATCTCCTTTACTTATCAACAATTTAAAAGTAGTCCCACCACTTGAAAAATAAACATCTAAAGCAGAACTACTCTAAACTATCAAATTATAATAAATCTAACTTCCAAAATCCAATTACAAAGAAGAACCAACCAAAAAAACTGTTGAATAACCAAGACTCAATTAAAGAGCTCACAGTGCATGTATATAATATATCAATATTTTAGTACCTGGATAAATTAAAGACAGAAACCTATCACCAATTAATAATTAAGCAAATTATCCATCTGCTTCTAGAAAAAAAGGAGAACAACCTTCTACTCCTAGTACCAGAATTTAAAGTAGTGCTCCAAGTTAAAGAGAAAAAGAAAAAATGCTATAAGAATAACTAAAAATAGAACTCAAAAAAGAATAATAAAAATTAATTGATTAAAGATAATCTATCAAAAGCAACAATTAACCTATACCTACTGAAGTTATTCGTTAATAAATTATTTAATAACATAAAAAGGAAGATCTAAAAAATGATGAGAAACTTTCAAATTAAAGATAAAAATCAGTTGATACTAAAAAAGAAAGACTCATTGTTTCTGCATAACCCAAATAATAAATCTAATAGCCTATTTAAGCTTAAGAAACATAATATCAAACTTAACCTTCAGAATTTATAGTTGCAGGATTAAAAAATATTAATCCTCAATCAATATAGTCTATTCTATGCCAACCTGTATTAGAAATTGGTGAAAGTCCTTTTCCATAAAGAGCCAAAGTTAAAAAATAAGAATAAATTAATAATCACTAACATTATTTCCCAATCTAAGAAGAATTTTCAGATCGAAAATTAGTTAAAGGAAAAACTAATATATGAATATAAATAACATATTATTTATTATATGGTTCAATTCTTGCTTAGTACATTAAATCATAACATAAAACATCAATCAAATAATCTCAATATAATATATATTTAATAGATAAATTAAATTTTATAACTTTTAACAAACAATTATTCTATTTTAAATATATATTATTATCATTTAAATTATTTTGATTATAGCTTATTACAATACTAATTATGGATCCATTAGTATTGTTAATTATATTAGGAACCTTATTCATATTCTAATATCTCTAAATGATTTAATTATAGTATAAAGTATACTAAAATTTTTAATTTTCTTAAGTTTATATTGATATTTAGAGTAATCAATATGGAAGAAAGTAATAAAATAGAATGATTTCTTTTAATTTTTTAATTTCACTTCAATCTAAGATATTATTATAGTATTATTTCAATTATTCATCTTAATTTGAATCAAATTAATTTAATATAGTATTCTTTATAATACTTACTCTCAATAGAATCATATTTAGATTAGTCTTATTTCTATTTAATGATTTTTAGAAATTTTGAGGCAATTAGATTAAAGAGTGATTAATGACTTTTCATTATTCATTTAATAAATTGTTCCTTTTTATTCAAGTTTCTAATTTTATAACATATATTTATATATATAAAAATAGATTTAAAATACGGAATTTGAGATAAATTAAATTATTTTAATATGTCAGACAGAGTGACCAGAAAAGGAAAAAGTTAACCATAGAAAGAAGAACCAAAATAAGCTAAGAAGTAAAAAGTTTAAAAAGAGACTTATGATGTTGTCTAATTATAGGATATAGGTAATAGAATGATATATAAATATTAGCCCATTAATTGAGAATTCATTCAATTGAGATGACAATTGCATCTAATTCTGGACATCCAACATCTTGTGCATCTATGGCAGAGATATTAGCAGCACTATTTTTCACAAAGGCAGGAATGCATTTTAATCCAAAGGATCCAGGAGTAATTAGTAATATTGATTTTAGAATTTTGGAAATGATAGATTTGTATTATCAAAAGGTCATGCAGCTCCAATTTTATATGCTGCTTGGTCAATGGTTGGTTATATTGATAGTAAAGAATTATTGAATTTAAGAAAGATCGATTCACTTTTGGAAGGACATCCAGTTCCAAAGTAAATAATGTTATGTTTAATATTTATATAGATTGCCTTTTGTTGATGTAGCAACAGGATCTTTAGGATAAGGATTATCAGTTGCAGGTGGTATGGCTTATTCATCTAAATTCTTGGACAAAATAAATAATAGATACTGGGTGTTGATGGGAGATGGTGAAATAGCAGAAGGATCAGTATGGGAAGCAGCTCATTTAGCTAGTCATTACAAATTAGACAATATTACAGCAATAGTAGATGTAAATAGATTGGGACAATCTGAAGAGACTTCAATTGGTCATGATGTCAATGTTTATAGAAAGAGATGGGAAGCATTTGGATGGAAGACTTTAGTAATAGATGGACATAATTTGAATTAATTAACTGATGCTTTTGAATAAGTAAGTGATTCTAAAAATATTGCTTATAGTGTAGAAATGTTAAGAATTAGCCACAAGTTATAATTGCAAAAACATTCAAAGGCAAATATTTGGAAATGGAGAACAAAGAAGATTGGCATGGAAAACCAGTTCCATAAGCATAAGTGGAGTTTGTCAAAAAACAAATGAAGTAATAGGGTGGATTCACACTTACTCCAGAGGTTCCTACATAAATAGAAAAACCTTAATAAAGTCATTTTACTTTGGATGTCAATTATGCAGTTGATGCTAAGTAATCAACAAGAGAAGCTTATGGAAAAGCTTTGGTGGGATTAAGTAAAACAGATGCTAATTAATAAATTGTTGCAGTAGATGGAGATACTAAAAATTCAACATTCTCAATTAAATATAAAGAAGCAGTTCCAACTAATTTTGTAGAATGTTTTATTGCTGAATAAAATATGGTTGGTTGGGCATAAGGATTCAGTTGTAGAGGAAAAGTAGCATTTGCATCTACATTTGCTGCATTCTTTGCAAGAGGTTTTGATCAAATTAGAATGGGAGGAATAAGTGAATCTTAAGTTAAATATGTTGGATCACATGCTGGTGTTTCAATTGGTGAAGATGGACCATCTTAAATGGGTTTAGAAGATATTGCTATGTTTAGAACTATACCAAATTGTGTAGTTTTGTATCCATCTGATGGAGTATCTGCTGAAAGAGCTATTGAATTAGTAGCTAATCATAAATCTCCTTGTTATGTTAGAATGAGTAGACCATCATTACCTATTTTGTATTCTAATAATGAAGTTTTTGAAATTGGAAAGTAAATATTATAATATATATTATTTTATAGATCAAAAATATTAAAATAAAATGATGATGATAAAATATTATTAATTGGTGGAGGTGTTACTACTTAAGAAATATTTAAAGCAGCAAAATAATTGAGTGAATAAGATTAGATACATGTTACAGTTTTGGATCTATTCTCAGTTAAACCTATTGATCATGATGGTATTCTTAATGCTGCAAATAAAACTACTTTGAAAACTATTCTAGTTGTTGAAGATCATTATATGGAAGGTGGACTTTTTGGTAATTAATATTATCTTATCATAATAGAAGCTGTATCATCTTGTTTAAGTTTGAATAATGAAGTGAAAATACATTCAATCCATGTAGATAAAGTAGCTAAGAGTGGTACTCCAGCATAAATGTTATAAATGTATCATTTAGATGCTGCAGGTATTATTGCTAGAGTAAAATCAATTATTTAATGAAAAATCATAAAATCATAAATAACAGCAAAATATTCAATTCATTTCTATTAATTAGTTAATAAATCCTTCATTTATACAAACTGCTTCTCTACATTCTTTTACAAATTCATATGCCTTTTCAAATCCCCAATTAAATTTCTTCATTAAATACATCACTATAAAACATGCTGATCTAGATTTTCCTTATGCACAATGAACAAATACCTATTTATTAATAATATATTTATTACTTTTCCATTCTCTATTAATGCATTTTCTATAAATTAATATACTTCTTCAAAATACTGTTTTACATTAATATGAGGTTCATCATATATTTTAATGTTCAAATACTTTACTAACATCAATAACTTCATTTTTACATTAATCACTATAATTCTTTATCTCAATAGTTGCATTTACAACATGTGTTATCCCTAAAATGTCTATCAACATTTCTGTATCTTTTGCATGATCACCTCCTCCTAAATATAATTTATTCTCTATTATTTCATTTGGTAATGTCTTATCTAAAAATCCTCTATTTTTAGTTATCTCATAATTTAAAAATGAATGTTTTCCAAAAACTATTTAAATTGGATCCAATATTATAAACAACTATCTAATCTTATCTTTATGGAAAATCTCATAGATCTTTAATGTTACTCCAAATAATTCTGAATTCATATGCAAACTACCTTATCCCTGTCCAACGTATTTTGGTTAACTTGCAGATCTCTATTTAATTTTTGGACCATTAGAAATTGTTATCTCTTTAATTTAAATTAATAGGCTTACCCTATAATTCTATGACCTTTTTACTAGAAACTATAGTCTAATGCTTTTTGAGACGAAATATCTTTTATTAGGAATCTTAATCAACTACTAATTCATTATCATCATCATCATCTTACATTACCATTGTATATGCTCTGCTTTTAATTTTATGTTTCTTTTTGTATGGCAATTTCTTTGTGATTTCATACCACCACTTAGTCACAGTTTCTAATGGAATATTAAACTAATCAGAAATTTCTGATCCTTCTCCCTTAACTCTATCCTTTAATAATAAACTGAACATATCAGATGTATCAAATGGAACAAAGAAATTGTAATTTCTCTTTCTAGTTTTAAATAATCTTTCCAATTTCTACTATTCAGATTATTATTCAGGATACTAAAAATGCTTTTACACATCTTCAACATTCTCCACCTGGTGTATATAAGGAACATGAATACTATTTTTCAAATAACCATGTTAATGTTCTCTTAGATCATAAACAATAAAAGGAAATTTTTGAGAAATATTGAAAAAGTATTAAGGAGTGCAAAAATGTATTTGCATAACTTTATATAATTAATCATATTCTTTAGTTCTTATGAACCAATAATAAAAGTAATTTATATAATTTTTAATTCCTTAATATCTAATCAAATAGAGATATTTATTCCTCTCACTTATAAAAAAGTTAATTAAGTAATTAATACATACATACAAAACTCAATCTGTATTAGTAGTCAACAACTCATCACAATTTTAATACCCTTATTTAAATATATCAATAGCTTCCCTACTATTTATTCTTTAATCAGGATCTTCTTGTAACATTCCATACAATAACTTCTAAATAGTTTAATTCTTAATATTTGATAGTATTTCTTTATTTATTTAGAATTTCTTACTCATATTTTATAATTCTTAAGAATCACAATTTTATAATAAATATATTCCAGAAAATCTAATTATATAAACTTAAATACTTACAATTCATAAATCAATGCCCCTAAACTAAATATATCTGATTTAAAATCATATTTATAAGTTCTCTAAAATACTTCAGGAGCAATATAACCAAGTGTACCACATACCTAATATTTGTTACTAACAATCTCATCAATCTTAATTGTAAGTCCAAAATCTATCAATTTAAGTTTATTAACATTATTTTCTATAAATAATATATTTTCTGGTTTAAAATCTCTATAAATATATCCTTCTAAATGAAAATAATTAACCAACGATAATAATTACTAATTTAATGATATTATACTTAAACTATAATTATCTTCTCTTTCTCATCTAACAAATTATTTTTTATTAAATTTTTCAATGTCTCTCCTTCAACATATTCCATTAGAATGTAAAAATAGTTCTATTCTATTGAAAACTCTTTAAGTTACACTAAATTTGGATGCTTAAGATTTTACATACACTAAACTTCATTAATAAAATCCTTATCTATAGATCAATTATTCATACTTTCTCATTGTATTTGCTACTCTTCCTAAGTGATTTACAAGCTAATATTCTTCCATTATATTTATTTTAACATTTAAAAACCTAAGAAAATAACATAATATTTTACTTTTCCGAATGCTCCTTTACCAAGAAAACCTATAATTAGATACAATTTAAATATATCATAATATAGAACTTTCCCATCAAGAAAATCCTTTAGTAGAGTTAGATTTTATTATTTCATATAGAAATATTCCCATTTATTATCAATTTGAATACCTAAAGCAAGAACTTTGCAATCTTTTTTATCCAACTTCCAATCCACTACAGAACCCTATTCTAATTAAAGAATATGAGTAATCTTTTATGCTATCTTAAAATCTCAATATTTTATTACATTTTGTAATACAATTTTATTTGAGTGTAATTCAATAGTGTAAGGCTCCTTAAATATTAGGTATTTTTTGTGGCAAATCATTGAAAAATCAATATTAAAATTAAATAAATTAACAAAAGTAATGAAAAAATAACTACTTAGTATTGTCTCCTAATGTAATTTAATTTTAAATATATTATTATAAATTTATGAGTTTTATAAACAATTCTTACCAATAATATATTATAATAATAATAATTAAATAGAAATATAAATTGAATAGTTTATTATGTATATTTTATGTATTTTTAGGTAAAGTTAAAGTTTAAAACAATTTTAATGGGATAATTCTCATTATAATCCTTAGGTTTTTAATAAATATGTCTTGACATATGTATATATACTCACTATTATTAATTAAAATCCATATCTTTATAAATTAATAATTGAAGATGAATGCAAATTTTAAATTGATTTGTAATCATTTTATAAAAAATGTCTATATAAATGTATATTTTTTTAATATTTTAATTGGTAATAGCAGAATTATTTACAATAAAAAAAGATGAATTAAAAACTTTATTCACCTTACCTATTAATGGATAGGATTTTGAACTATAAACAAACAATGATGAATGGAATATATGTCAATTGTAAAGTCATTAATTAAAATTACAATATTATTAATATGATAGCAGTGATAAAAGTAACTTAGCTATGTTATCACTTTCATAACATTCATTATTAGTATTGACTGATGATAGATATATCAATTATTTTCAAGACTAAATACTATTTTGGTAATACATAATTCCTTCTAGTGTAGATATAAAAAATGCAACAATGAAATATTGTTAAATGACATACTTAGTCTATTTTATATCTAATAAAGTATATAGATTTAATCCTTATGATAAAAATTTATAAGAATTCGAAACATTTCTTAATTATTAACCTTAATAAATAGAAATATGTGATTAATTCATATTTGTTATTGATTTATAAAGAATTACTATATATAATGATAGTGTCCAAGTTTATTAGATCGATATTAAGAACTATATAAACATTACATAATTAACAATCCTAAATAATAATTAAAATGGTTATAATATATTTATATTGGATATGTAAGCAGGATTATTAAAAATTGAATGGAATTAGCAATCTCACACTATAAATTAATTAGATTTAATTTAAAATGGTGTGGCATTAGGTATAAATAATGATAACAACTTTTATGTTGCATATAAAAGATAATATAAATATATTATTGCTCATTATTAAATTATTGATTCACAAATATAAATTGTTAGGAAATTCTAGAGCAAGAAAATCATTAAAAAAATTATAGCTTAAAAAGATTATGTTTTATTGCTCACAAATAATAAAATAGATATTTTATATCAAAATAAAATATATAAGATATTAAAATTTGGAATCAAAGACATATCTATAATTAGTAATAAAATAATAGGAATTAGTACTTTCGATATATTTTAATATTTATATGAACCAATACCTAATTATGTGTAATGTTTTTATTAATTAAATGAAATACTTCCACAACAATTAGATTACTAATTAACATTTAATCAAATTAATATAACCATACAAAAAAAAAGGATAGAATTTTCTGTTGAATTGTAAATTCACAAATCTGATACAATGAAAATATTTATCGGTTTTCTTGTATGTGGAATAGTATTAACATTAATTTTATTATATACTTTTATAACTCTAAAGTAAAAGAATCTATTAATAAATGAAATGGAAAATAATCTCAAGAAATCTAAAGTAAAATAAGTACCACTTTTTAAAAGTTTAGAATGTGCTATAAGTCCTAAAGGATAACACTCAAAATTTTAAAGTTTTGATCAAACATCAAATTTTGATTTAAATAAGTTGAGAAATTGAAAAAAATACATATATTAATATAATATTGAATTTTATATGTTTATAATTACTAATTTACTTTTAAATATACTTTTTACTTTTGTTTCTAAATTATTTAGATAAATATTTATACTAAAAATATGTATTTATCAAATAATCATTAAATATATATGTAAAAATAGTATAATTATTTTTAATTAATAAAAATTTGATTAATTACGATGTTTTAATAATAACTTGTCAATCATCTACCTTATTTGATGGCTTTAGATAAATCTAAAGATCTTGAATCAATTGGTTATTATCTTTCTGAACATTTAAAAGTGGCAGGAGGATATTGGACAATTAATGCAATAGCTTGTCTAAATAAATTAGATGAGATTAGTCAAGAGAAAAAGCAACAATTATCAAAATGGCTTAAGGAATGTTAAAATTAAGATGGTGGTTTTGGTGGTAATACAAATCATGATTCTCATATAACAAATACACATTATGCTATTTTATTAAGCTTTTTATTGGGATGTGAATTAGATTATGCGGCAGCAGCTAAATATGTAGCAGCTAGATAAAGATAGGATGGATCATTTGAAGGAGATTAAGTAAGAATTATTTAAAGCATATTATAGTGGGGAGAAGTAGATGCAAGATTTTCATATTGTGGTTTATCATCTTTAACATTATTAAACAAAAGAGATTTGATAGATATTAAAAAAGCAGCAAGTTATATAAAGAAATGTAGAAATTTTGATGGATCATTTGGGGGAATGTATTTAATAAATTGAATTATTTTTAGTCCAGATGCAGAATCTCATGGAGCATATGTTTTTTGTTGTGTTGGTACACTCTATTTATGTGAAGATCTTACTTTTAATATTGATGAATTATCAATGTGGATACATGAGAGATAAACTAGTAAAGGAGGGTACTGTAATTATATATATTGTAGATTGAATGGAAGACCTGAGAAATTGGCTGATGTTTGTTATTCTTGGTGGATGTATAGTGCATTATGTTTATTGAAAAGAGAACAATGGATAAATTAATAAGCATTAGAAAATTATATACTTGAGGTATATATCTTAATAATTCAATATAAATAGTGTTAAGATAATGTTGGTGGAATAGCTGATAGACCAAATAATCAACCTGATGTTTTTCATACATTCTTTGGTTTAGCAGCATTGTCATTATTAAATGGTGATAAATATCAATTGAATCCTATTGATCCTGCATTTGCACTTCCAAAATCAATACTCATTAATATACCTGGAGCGAGCAGATTTATTTAATCTTGAAAATTATATCAATTTTATCAATAATAAATGTCAAGAGGAAATTAAAGAGTTTAATTACCCTAAATCCAATAGAAATAATAAGTGGAGAATTACAATTTCATTACTTCAAAAAAGAAAACAGTTTAATTCTAATAGTCTCTACCCTAAGAAGATATTTAAGAAGATTGGAAAAAGAAATGTGAAGAATTATAAAAGGATGTTGAAACAAGAAATCAAACAATTTTTAGTATTCAAAGAAATTTTGAATCTCTTTCAGCATTATTAAAGACTGAAAAGTAAGAGAATATGGGAATTAGAGATGAGGTTGTTAGATTAAGAGAGTTGAATTAATAATTATAATAATAAGATAAAGATAATCAATAGAAAATAAATGAGAACTAAAGAAAATTAAAGGAATTACAATAATATCATGATTAATTATAAGAAGAAAGGAAAACTAATTAAAGATAGAATGTTGAAATAAATAATTTGAAAAATTAAATTACTTAACTAGAAGCAATCATTAACAGAAAAGAAAATGAAATTAGATAAATGTCATAAACTATTACATCTCTTTAAATGGATTTATCATTGCTACCTTCATTAACAAAAGATAATGAAAAGTTACAATAAAATATAGAAACATTGAAGGAATAAATTATATATTTAGAAGTATTTTAAATCAATATTATTATTTAGAAATCTAATGCAGATAAAGAATTAAATCTCTAAATTGCATTTAAAAATCACACATAACTTAATAGTCTTATAGAAAATTTGAAATTAGATAATATTGCTGCCTAAGGTACTATTAAACATCTTAAATCTGAAGAAAATGTATATATTTATTATATATTTTAAGATATCTCTATTAAAAATAGCTAAATAATAATAAGACATATAAGAATTGTAATCTTAAATTAAATAATTATAAGATTAACTTAATAATCAAAATACTGTCTTATAAACAAGAAATTAATAAGATGGATAATAAAATTAAGCCATTTTATAATTATAAAAGTAATTATTAGATTCTCAAAAACAATATTAAATAATTATTGATGAAAATTAAAATCTAACTAATTTTGTAAATGAAAATATGCCAATAATAGAATAATATTAATTAGTCTTATCCACTTTTGGAAATACTAATTTTATTTAATTAATCAAAGATTATTAGAAATTATAATAAGATATTAAATTAAAAATTGAAAAACATGAATAAACATTATAAGAAACATAAAAATTAACTGAGAAATTATAATAATGTTAATTAGAAGTTACTAGTGTAAGAAGTTAAATTACATAATTATAATAATAAAATAAAGAATTAACTTAAAAAGCTTCATATTTTGAGGATGAATTAAAAACATATTAAACTATTAAATCTTCATCTCTTAATAATGAATAAGTTATTAAAACCTTATAAACACAATTAAAACATAAAAGTGAAAATGAATAAAATCTATTATCATAAATGAGAATAATTTAATAAGAATTATAATAATATAGTGAATTTGATGGATTAATTATGACATATAAGTAATTTACAAAACCAGCAGAATTTATATTAACTTCAGATCTTAATTAACTTAAATAGAATATTGAATAAATTACATAATCAAATTAATTATATATTGAAGATATTGAATAAAGAAATAAATAAATTGAATCCTTAACCTAATAAATTTAAGATAAAGACTAAATTCTTAATGATTAAAATACATAATTAAGTAATTCTAATCAATAATTGCTTACTTTGAAAATGAAGTTGGATTAAACATTAATTGAATTAGATCAATTAAGTAAAGAGAGTAAAGCCTAGAAAGCTTCTATTGATTAATTAGGGAATGATCTTACTATGGCCAATAAAGAGAATAGGAATCTTTCATAATAGGTTTATGAATAAATGGAAAATTTACAATAATTAAATATGAAAAATGGAAATCTATAAAAAGAATTAAATTGTATTTTATATATCTATATAAATATTTTTAGAGAATTAAGATATAACATACAAATTAGGTTTAGATGTAAAGAATTTAACTTAAAAATTGAAGAAAGCAGAGGAAGAATTAGAAATGTTGGTAATATATTATATAATAAAAATAGAATCCTGAAAAAATGAGAGGTTTATAATTATAATTAGATTAAAAAGAGAAAGAATTTTAAAGTCAATTATAAAATATTGCACTTGCTTTGGATGCTTAAATTACATCTATTTCCTGTAATAGTTGTATGGAAGTATTATAAAAGACTAATACTTGTTATCCATGTGGACATTCATATTGTGAGAAATGTTTCCAAAATCAGTGTTCAGAATGTTAAGATTAAGATGGTTGGTTTAAGAATAAGAGATTAGATGACTTAATTAGTAAGATAAATTATTCAAAATAAATTCTGAATACTTATAAAAAAAAATGATAATTTACTATAACTATAATCAATATATATAGATATATATATTTTATTGTATATATTTAAGTTTAGAGTATTGAAACTCTATTAAAAAGAAATGAATTACTTAATTCAATAGATGTTTATTATTATATATTAAATTAGTTAAGACTCAACATTATTTTTGTGTATTTTAGTTTGTCTATAAAATATTGTCTAAATTATTTAATGAATGATATAATATTTTTATTAACAATTATTTATATTCATAATATTTATTAGAGAACCTTATAATATTCATAGTCTAATTTAAATTACACAAAAAATTGAAATAACTTTCTAATATAAAATAACATTAATATATTACTTCTAAATATTTTCTCCTTGATAAACAATCAATTCTTATGAAGTTATATCAAAAATTCCTAAAATTAAAATATTCTTTTAATTTTATAACAATTTTATCTTTTAAACTAAAGCACTTATGCTACTCTTTTTTAATTTGTATTAAACTATGGAATTAAAAGCTAAATCATAAGGATCATCATTTTCATGAACTTAAATTTTAATAATCTATAACTATATTAAAAGGATTAATGTTCCAACATTAGGTTTCTATTTAATTATTTATTGATTATGTATAGAAATAAATCTCTCATAACATTCTTTAATTCTCAAATCTATATTAAATTTGATAATAAATACTTTTGCATCCCTTATCTTGTAATGATTGAGTCAATTTTTGCATAAAAGAATTGATTTAAGATTCAATAAGGAGCATTAATGATTTTTTGATTGTTGATTTAACTTTCTTTTACATAGTGGAACAAATTCTTTCTATTATTAATGGATAAGAATCATCATAATAAATATCAACTTTGAATATTTAACTATTATAATTATATTTTAAATACTTATTGAATGCAATTTCTAAACATATTAATTTTTTGGAAATAGGTGATGGTGATCTTAATCTACAACTACTATTTAAATCAAGATATGCTCTTTTAGTACTAGGCAAAATTTATGAATTTTGTATTTAAGAATTCTAATAAGATGTACTTTAAGTTAGAATATTGATGGTATCATTATGTTAATTTGATTTATCTTAGATTAATTCAAATGCTCTTTAGCTTTCAACAGTTTCACTATTGATACTTTTATAATCTGATTAATTTTCTTTATTTCCAGATGATTTAGGTGTTTATGGTAAAGGTCTATCAGGAGTGGTTTATTTAATTTGATGATTGATTGTTTCAAACTATTATTCTCTATAAGATTCTAGAGGAAATGGTAAGATTTAACACTTTTTCATTATTAATTGAGCTTTAATTCTAAGAAGATTTTGAAGTAGTATGATATTAGTTCCAAATTTAGCATTAATGTTAAGGAAATTGATTTGATTTTATGTACAATATTCTTCTAATTCATCTTAAAGGATTAATTAGGAATGTACTTAATTGTTGATAAGAACAAGAAATTAATAAGAACGATTCAGTTATTTAAGTATTATTTGAATTCTATATAAGTGATAGTTAATATAAAATATACTTGGATTTAGCATATTGAATAGATTATGTTGATTAATCACACACAATTAAAAAGCAAAGAGCATCTGGAATATAGGATTCTTCTTTTTAAAATTCATAGATGAAGAGTGTTTCTTACATTTTATCATGTAATTAAACAATTTTGAGATCAGTTTAAGAGTCCAATTATTTAAGTATAGTTTTTTTACCGACTGCTTTTGATCCTGATATGATAGCTTTAAATTGATAATAATATTTCATTTTGTAAAAAATTCAAATTTTGGAATGAATAAAATTTATAGTCAATATAATCTTGAAAGATTGCGATTGCAATAATCAGAGAAGGATTCATTAAAATTAGAAAGTAATTTAGAATTAGTATTTTAAAGGAAGTGATGTGAAAAGGGGAACTGGAAAGAATGCAATTAGAAAGATCTTTGGAATTGATGAAGGTAGTAAACATGAATATGACATTTATGAACAATAATAACTAGATGCATTTAAGAAAGAGATTGAAGAAGAAAGAGATCTATTAACAGATGAAATAATATTGAGATTCTTATATGCTAATCATTTTGATTTCCCTTAGACAATAAAAGTATATATATATATTAACTAATACATAGCATATGCGTAATCATTAATAATGGCTTTAAGATCCAAATAACTTTAAATGGTCTCTCAACACTGAAGAAATGATAGTATTTTCTATTTAATGATTCACTAGAAATAAGGAGCAATATATGTGAGTGGTCGAGGTTAAGGATATAAACCTATAATAGTGATAAATGCAGATAAATTTGATATCACTATTTATCCAATAGATGATATATTGAGAGCAATCTCAATAGTTCTTATGGTTGTTAAAGATTACATGTTAGTACCTGGAAAGGTTGAGAGTTGGTTTATAATTGTTGAAGCCAAGAATACAACTGCATTTTCTGTTCCATTTACTGTATTCCTCCATAACAAATATGATAGCATTTAAATTAGATTTTTGATATGTTAAAACTCAATTTCCCTTGTTATTTGGAACGAATGTTCATTTTACAACCATAGACATCTATACAAATTACTTGGTAAATTGTAGAATAATTTATTCCATACAATTCTAGACACAAAATAGAATTTGTAACTAATGATTTTTCATTAATGTTCAATTATATCAAACCAAAATAATTAGAATAAAGACATGGAGGTAGAGCACCTAATATATATGATTATTGGCCACCTCATATAGAAGATTTTAATGAAGTTGAATATTTAATGAAAGAATAAGAAGAAACTAAAAAAATATAAGAATAAATTAATTAACTTCAAAAAGTAATGCCATTTACTTCTTCAATTGATGTTTAAGTATCAAATCTATTAAGAAAACATTATAAACCTAAAAATAAAATATACTAAGAAGAAACACATCTTGAAACCACCAACTATTATATGAATAAATCCAATTCCAAAACTGTATTCTTAAATGCTCCAAAAGTCTAATAAATTATTTCAACATAATAAAGAATTCAAGATCAATAAGAAATGTAATCATAATAAAAACCTTAAGAAGTTAATGCATCTTTTGAATAATAACTTAATAATAATAATTACTTAAATTATCATTCACAAACTCAATTTAATCCTAATACTTAATCAAATCAATTAAATTTTAGATAACCATAATTTCAATCCAGATTTATTGGATCTAAAACTAGATTAAATGAAACTTAAAATTCGTAAATGCTTGGATCCCAAAATCCCAATTTCTAATCCAGATTTGTTGGCCCTAAAACTTAACATCTATTTATTAAATAAGATGTTAGCATTATAGCCAACAAAGAGGAACTTGTATCCGCTTAGCATTCATAAATTATGTGATTAAATGATAAATGATGTTATTAAATAATTATTAATTATTAAAAAGTTATTTTATACATTTTTAACTATTTCTGATCCTTAAAACGTTTAGAGTAAATAAGGGTGCTTCACTTTACGAAATAAAATAAGCTTATTACAAATTAGCTTAGCTCTATCATCCAGATATTTATTCTGAAAAGATGCTGTTAAAATGTTCACTCAAGTAAATAATGTTTATGAGATTCTATCCGATTAAGGAATAGTATTTTACTAATTTATTAGAACAAAAGAAAAATGTATAATAATTGTGGACTTTAATATAATACATAGAAAAATAGAATTTTTATAAAAATAAATGAATATTTAAAAAGATAATTAAATAAATCTTGTATACATAGTAATGAAGAAAATTTTGAAGATGAATTGAAATGTAATGAAAACATATATCAATAAAAAAAGAAGAAGATAATAATCAAAGAATAAATTTTATTCAAAATTTGATAAAGCAAAATATGAAACAATATTTAGTGAGTTTGATTAATAATTTTAATAAAAACATGGTAAAAAGAAAGCATATTTTATTCAAAGAAAAAAGGAGATGATATAAAATTGGACATAAAATTGAGTGTCAAAAATTTTTTTATTGGTGTGTGTTACAGGAAGATAAGCATAAGAGAGTTTTTCATGTTGTGGATCAGGGTGGTTGCTTTATATAGAAAGAGAAAGTTCATTTGAAAAATAGTTTGATATTGAAATAGAATTACCACCAAAAAGAATATAAAATGGAACCATAATTAGATAAACTAGATATGGTCATGCAGTATATATATTTGTTAATAGTAGAGTTAATACTCTGGAGAACCAGCAGATTTGTTGATTGAAGTTGAAGAAGACAATACATTGAGGAGAGATGGAAATAATATCATTAGTGAATTAGATTGAGTGTAAGTTAGATATTATTGGCATGTAAAAAATAGATTCAAACTATTTAGAGAGTTTTAGAGGTTAGAGATTCATAAATATAATAGATTTCTATTTCTGAAAGATAATAAACTTGAACAAAGTTATAAATACCATAGTATGGGATTTAATATGGGTGATCGCAATGGAAGAAGGGAGGTCATTTCGTAATTCTGAACTTGGAGATTCCATAACAACTGAATGAGAGAATAAAACTATTATATTATAAACTGTTAAAGCAATTATGATTGGGAAATCCGTTTTTGTGTTATTAATAATAAAATGAAGTGGACACTGATTATAGTGGCTATTTGCATGTATTCATTGCATGCAAATTCAGATCTTGATACTGTCAAACAACTGTTGACAGATTTGAAAACCAATGTGTAATTAGATATCGAAGCTTTGGATGCAGCTTGGGAATTACATAAGAAAAACAAGCAATCAATAATTGATGCCTTAAGTTTCTCAGCATCAGAGTAAGGAAGTGAATGTGCAAAGAAAGATGAAGATGTTTAAAGCAAATAGAGGGATATCAAAATAACTAATGATTTTGTAGCTTGGATGTAAAAAAGATAGGGATTGAATTCTTAAAGATTAGGTGTTTTGGAAGTTAATAGGTATATAAATCATCTATCAATAGATGTTAAGCAAGCAACAATTATGTACATGATATCAAGAATTACAAAATTGCATTAGCATTAGTCAAATTTTTGAGAGAATAATTAGACAAACTTGATTCTAATGCAACACCTGCATAAAAATAAGAATTTTTATAAAAAGTACACAAATTCGTGTAAATCTATCAAACAGGCAAACTATTAACCATGGTTGAATAAATTTAAATGAACTCAGATGGTTCTTATGTATTACCAACAATTGAAGGTGATGAATAAGATCTTAATGAATCTGCACTTACACAAACAAGAGGAAAAAGAAATGCTAATAAAGTGCTCCTTTAATAATAATAAACTACTGTCATAGCATCAGGTGATGAAGATGATAAGGCTGATAGTGCAGTTGTTCTTATTCCTAGTCAATGTGATGATTCTATTAATACAGTTATTGTTGTTTAAAATGATGATGGCACCGGTGGAGATGATGATTTACATATTAAATTCACTAATGGAGGTTCAGGAGGTTAAGGAGGATCTTCAAAACCAAAACCATAACCTAAACCATAACCAAAACCATAACCATAAGAAGAAGAAGATGATACAGATGATACAGAAGAAGAGACAGAAGCTGAAGAGGAAGTTTCAGAAGAAGAAGATGGATAACATACAGATGAACCTACTGGAGAGGAAGAATCTGAAGAAGATAATAAAACTGATGAACAACCTACTAATCCAACAACTGAAGAAGATACTCATGATGATAATGATAATGATAATGGAGATGATGATAATGGTAATGATGATAATAAGAATGGAGATTCAAAATAAACTAATTAAGACAATAGCGGTTAAAAATAAACAGAAGAAGAGGAAGATTTAAGTGTATAATTATTATTTTAATATAATTTAGGATATCAGAAAAGTATTAGATGCAATTGAAAAACATTCTAAAAAATCATTAGATTTGGAATAAGAAGATGAAGTAAGAAGTTCTATGATCTATATTGATTTTAAATTACATATTGAATTAGAAAATCAATATTTTGATAAACAAATTGCTGGAGAAAAAGAAAACTTAGTATTAATTTTTATTAATATTAGATCAAACTTACAAATCAATTAACTAGTAGAGTAGGAATTGCTAGACAATGTAATGCTAGACTTAAGTAAATCAGAATAGCTTATTAAGTTAGCTAAGATGTAATTATCAATTATATATTCTTAGGATTACAATGATTCCTATTAACATTACTTAGAACTTAGAAAACAAAAGGAAGAGGAACTAGCAACCTTTGATGACATATATAGAATTTATACCTCTTAGGTTGTTTGAATTTTACACCATAAATCATAAAATTATTCAAATTTTATAATTATAAATAATAATCCTAAACTTGATAATAAATAATAGATTTATAATGAGTATTAGTCTCTAAGTTTTTAATTAATATCTAAAAATATTTATAGTAAATTATTATTTACTATAATAATTTATTAGATTAATATTCTGACTTAAATATCTTGACTCATTAGTTAAATTTTATACTTTTTTGATTAATAAAAACTAGTTCTATAGAAAGAATACTAGTCTCTATTATAAAATTTGATATCATTGAAATATATTTTAGTATTATAAACAGCATCATTCATATTGATTTACAATAATAATTTTATAATGTCAATAACTGTTTCGACCTGTCAATAGATTTGCCAATCACCATTAAACCTTAGTCCTTCAAAGAATTTATGGACTTTCTCCAAATCAGAGAGATTTGGCAAATTAGCCAATCCAACATTGTAATAAATTCTGATCACAATTTTAGTTGCTAATAAGCATTTTACAATCTTCCCACAATGATAGAAAAAAGATCAGCAGGAATTGGCAAAGGCAATAAGTATATAATAGTAGTAAATAAAAGGATTGATTTCACTAAAGTAGTTGTTCCTAGTCCATCTCCTTAATAATATGATTTAGGCAGTGATGTTTAAAATAATCTGAAAAAGAATAAAGGATATAAATTTGGTGTGAGTAGAGATAAAATGGCTAGTACAGGCATTCTTGGTACCTTAAATCTAAAGACTCCAGGTTTTAACTCATCAATTAAACCTTATAGCTCCTGGAACTTATGATTTAGGATCAACATTAAGTGATATTAGATATACAATGAGACCTAAACCATAAAAGAGCTCATTAATCTCTAATGCTAAAGTTCCAGGACCAGGATAATATGAATCATTACCAGCTATCAATGAAAAAGGAAGATATCCAATATCAAAATATAGTAATTCATGTGCTACTTTATTCAATCCAAAATCATCAAAAAGATTTACCACTGATTATTGTAAGAATTAGTCCCTTTCTTATGTTATTAGCTACTAAAGTACCTGGTCCAGGATAATATGGACTTGATAAGACAGGAATCTAATAAGTATAATATTTCAATAAATATACAGGATGGTAGATATTTTGTATCCAAATTCCATGATTCTAATGTTAGAAGCTTTCCAAAAGAAGCAAGAAGAACAGGATCTAATGAAAAATGTAAATAATTCATTATATTTAGATTAAACACCTGCTCCTGGAAACTATAGATTGCCATCTGAATTTGGTTATTATGAGGCCAGCAAAAGCGTTGGTCACACTGAACCCAAATGAAAAATAATATTATTACAATTAACATCAAAATATATTTCATATCTATTATATAAATAAGTATAAAAAAAAGAGTTATCTTTTGAAATACTATTAATTTCAATATATTAAATTTTATCCTGATGATTAATTCTATAATTAATTAAATTGTTTATAATTATATAATTTATAAATGATTCGAATAATGAGCTAAAGGGATAATTCTACATAAAAATTGAGAGATGAAATCAAAAATATCTCTGCTTTTTATATTTATTAATTTTGGAAGTAGTATAAAATCAGAAAAACTTTAAAAAATACTTTAAAGGCTTTTTAAAAGACCATGAATGAGTTAAAATTAACTAAAACACCTTTAGTTATATATTACTCTTCTATGGCTTCAAACTTTTAGACAAGGTAGGATCAACTAAATCTCTTTAATATGTTAAAAGTGAAAAACATAGAATACTAGGAATTTGATCTTGTTGATAATAAAATGGTACAAGGTTGGGTGAAATAACTAAATAAATATAAATTGCCATTCGTTACCATCAATGGTATCTTTATTGGAGGATATGAAGACTTTTATAGTTTATTTGAATAGGGGGGATTCTTACAACGCATAATCAACAAAGGTAGAAATATATTATAGCATTAATAGATTATGAAATGCAGTGTATAAATTGCAATAAACAAAGAGGAGGAGGAGATAATTGCCCTAATTGTAAATGGCCTTATGAATTCTTCAAAAAAGAATGAGTTATATAATATAAATAATGAATTTCAGTCTCCCAGATGCTCTCAATTTAATAAAGGAAGGTAGAGCCAATGAAGCTGTTGATCAATTAAATAGATTTATTGAATGTTTACAACCTTTAAGTCCCTAGACATAACTTTTGGGACAATAGCTTGGAATAGATTTAGATTTTTTTAGAATTGTTAAATTCTCAGATTTTTATGATCCTGATCCATAAGTATAGGCTTTACGCTTTAAATATTATGCTTATAAAATTGCAAGTAAATATTGATTAATATAATAGAGTGGGGTTATTAAATAATCTAATAAAAGAGGAAAGCAAAAAGAAGACATGATTTAATTGATAAATCAGAATAGTTTGGTATATAGAATGAGATTGGACGTACTTTTGGAGTGGATGGTGAATCAAAACAATTTGCTGAATCAAGAATTTAAATAATGTCTGACAAATTATAGAAGAAAAAATAAATATATCAGAAATAATTATTATTTCAATTAGATATAGAGAAGAGAAGAAATGATTATAAATAATAATAAGATGATAAAATAGAAAAAGTTAGAAAAGCTTTAAAAACAGATTATGATAATAAAATTTAACCAGTTAAAGAACATTTAGAGATTGTAAATGAAAAATTAAAAAATAATCACAAAATGAAGAAGAAATAAGAAGATGAATTGATTAATAAAAGAAGTGAATTATTAAAAAATGCTTCATTAATGTATATTAATAAATTATATCTTAGTGATGAGAAAATAAATAAACTAGAAGAAATGAGAAGAAATTAAATAGAACATATGAAAAATGCAAGATAAATGAAAAAATAAAGATAACATTCATTTTAAGAAAAATAAAATTAATAATATGAAGAATATCTTGAAAAAATGAAATAGAAATTATAATAAAGACGTATAAATATAATATATATATAAAAAAGGTATTGTTGATATTCATTTTGAATCACATAAAGATTTTGGTAAAAGATAAGTATCAGATGATTTTGAAAAAAATTTAGAAAATGTAATAAATAAATACTAAAAATAATAACCAATTATAAATAATTTATTAGCAAAACAAATAGAGTAGATTTAAACTAAAAAATCTATTGATATTGAAAAATAAAAAAAAGTTAAATAGAATTTACAATTAGATCATTCTAATAAAATAGAATCTCGTAATGTTGATGAAGTTATTATAAGAAAAGAAAAAAGATTATAAGAAGAAACAATTTTACGAAAAGAAACTTATTAATAAAGATTTCTTAATTTTTTATAGAATCGTTAATAATTATAAAGATTATAATCATAATAAATTGATAGATATAATGCTTTTTTTTCTAGATAAACAACAAGATTAAAGAATATGAGAACAACTAATGAATAAATGAAATCTACTGTGAAGTATATTTATTTATTATATTAAATAGTTTTGCATTAATGTAAGCTAATAAAATAGAAGAATAAACAGCATTAAAAATGTCAAGAGCAATTTAATTAATTAATGATCCTGATTTATAAATGTAATTCAAACCAAATGAAAAATTAACAACTTAATAAAAAATAGCTAAGAAAAAGTAAGAGGAAATGTAATCTTTATTAAAATCATTTGTAACAAGTGAAGTTGATTTGTTAAGATTTTCTAAATCCGTTACAGAAGTTAAAAATGATGAAAATTAATAATAAAAATGATATTATTTTATATTATCATTGTTCTATTATGATGTATTCTGCTTTTTTTATTTTCTATTTCAAACAAAATAAACAACCTCCTATTAATAAGAAAAATGTCAGAATTGGTATTATGATAATAGCTGTCAATTCAGGATTTTAAATTGAAAACCACTAATTTAAATATTTATTTACTTCTTTCGTTCAGGACAACAGCAATGTTCGGAATTATCAAATGTTACATTAAGTGTGCAATAATAAGGGGATTTATCATCTACTTTTTTATCCTTATCAATAGTTGAATTTCCATCATCTCTCTCTTTATTAAAAAATATCTCGTCATCTACAATATCATTACAAGTTAATTTGACTAAAAAGTAATATTAAGATATATCGACTTTTGAGTTTAATACTGGATCTCCATTTTCAAATTATCTGCATGATTTACTAATTGAAAATTTTTATCCTTTTGCATTTTTGTATTCTAATCCATTCTTAGTTATTTGTTAGCCTAGTGTGGATATTACTTCTTAACTGTTGACTAAAAGAAATAGCAAATTAACAATGATAATCATATTTAATATTAAATATTATATTAATTTTATATATAAATGTCATTACTATTATTTTTATTATTCTAAATATTAAGTATATAACTTATTCTATTTTTCCCATAACTCTTAAACAACCTTTTTTTATTTTTTAGATAATTCATTTCCATCTTTATCTTTAATAGGAAGGCCACTTTCATCAAATTCTAAATATTTATCTGTTTGTTAAGAAAAGAATTCTTTTGGACTTAGTTTTGCTTTTTCAAGTTTCTCTTATTCTTCTTTTTTTCTTTATTATTCTTTTTATTAAAGTAGAATCTATTGTTATAATTTTTCCAATTTCAATTCTTAAATATCATATTATTTCCAAATAGAAGACTTAATTATAATAATAAATAGAATACTTAATCTTTGTCTTCTATTTTAATCCCTAAATCGAATAATTGTTAATCTCTTAATTTATCACATATCTAAAATATTTACTACTTATTTTTATTTTGAGATGCAATCAATACTTCTTATTAAAATTGGTTGATTGCATCTACTAAGTAGTTTGAAATATTCTTCTCATATTATATTTACTTTTAAGTAACTGCATTTATAATAGATTCAAAATCATTATTTTTAGCTGCCATCTTTACCTTATCTCTTATTTAACAAACCTATTCCATCAAAGGTTAAATATCTATTTAATTTGTTAATAATGTTTAGTAATTAATTCCCAAAAGCTAAAAAATATAATAAAATAATTTACTCCAAAAATAAAGTTGACATAATTAACAACACTATTAATAAGTGGTGCTCTGACATTTTTAGATGCAATCTAAATATTAACCTAATTTATTAATTTATCTGTGGCATCTACAACTGTAGGAAAATCAAAATTGTTTATTAATGCTTAATGAATGATCTGCTTAGTAGATCTAAGTAAAGCACTTAATTAGAAATCATTTTCTGTCCACTTTTATGCATCAGTTACTTAGGATTCTCTAAGATAGATTTTTGTATTTTAAAAGAATTCTTAATAAGATTTATCCTTTGCAATAGCCTATTCCATTTGTTCTTCTGAATAATTTTAAGGAGCATCATATTAATGAATTGCAAAGTTTAAACGAACTTATCTTGGAGTATATCTCTTGAGAACCTCTTCAATGGTCATAAAATTTTTGAGGGATTTTGACATTTTTCTATCAGCAATGTTTAAATGTCCAAGATGTATAAAATAATTGATCCATTGTTCACAATTAAAACATGCTTCAGCTTATGCCAAAGAATTATCATGATGTGGAAATAACAAATCAATACCTCCAGCATGCAAATCAATAGGATTTCCTAAAATAGCACTAGCCATAACAGAACATTCAATATGCCATCCAGGTCTACCTTCTCCCCAAGGACTTTACCATTTAGGTTCTTCAGGTTTACTTGCTTTCCATAATGCAAAATCATATGGACTTTTCTTTTCAGATTACTTATTTAATTAGGATTCACCTTCTCCTTCTTAAAGTAATTCAGCATTCACTTCTGGTCTCATCTTTGGATAAGTATGCTATTTAAAAAAATCAAATTATAATTTTATACTCCATCAGCTATATATTTTTAAACATCAAAGTAAACACTACCGTTACTTTCATAAGCATATCCATTAGAAATGATTTTTTAAATGAAGGTAACAATCTCTGGTACATAATCACTGACTCTAGTAATTACATCAGGTAGTTCTATATTAAGAGCTTCCATTGCATCAAAGAAATCTTTTTCCCAAATTTTTGTAAATTCAAGAAAATCTTGTTTAGCAACATTGGCCCCTGTAATAATCTTATCATCTATATCTGTAATATTCATAACACTCAGTAAATCATAGTGAAAATAATCTCTCAATGTTCTTCTTATTACATCGATACCTAAATAGGTTCTTGTTAGATATATGATTGCTAATACCTTGCATGACCCAAATGAGAATTACTATATACAGTTGGACCACAATAATAGAAACTTTAAGTTATTTTTGATAATACTTCACTTGTCTACCATTTATTGGTATAAATGGTATTAATTCTGAACCTTTTAAAGAGTTTGCTAGTTTTAATCCAGTAATATAAGAATCTTCTTTGGCTTCTGGTACTTTGTAATGCCCGAATGGTACTTTAGTTTGTTGCATAAAAATATTAATGGATCTTGATACAAACTTTATCATTTATGAAGTTAAAATTACCTAAACTTTAATAGAATTCAATGGGTGACATATGTTCAAATAAGTGCATCATTTCAATAATATTAAATCTAATAAATTTTGTCATAATTAATTATTAGTACGAATTAAAACAACTGTTTAATAAGTCATATATTGTAACAAATATATAAATTAAATCGTAAATTAATTTAATGACAGAAAATTGCTAATAATTATTATTTATCAATCAATATGATGAGTGTGGAACTTTTAGTAATTCATTAAGATGGAGAATCATTTTAAAACTAAGCTTAGAACAAGTCTATTATTCTTTCAAAATTTGATTTAGCCTTAAGAGAGGCTAACATAATCTGTTTATGCATTTGTTGCTATTATACCTTTAAACTTCTTTTTACCTTGGTATATCATAAAGAAATTGAAGACAAATCATAGGAATATTTTATAATAATCACTTTTTTATATGATGTTATTGCATTTGCACTATTTGCAATATTACAGTATATTTAATTTAAATATATAGCGCTCTCACCGATAATCTGAAATTTTCTGAACTTAGCGAGTATGATTAATAGATCAATTTATTTGAATTGAATCATTGCCTCACTTGCTTAACCATTCAAGAACTTTTTTCCATATATAAACCTCTTAATGGATGTATGATAATCTACACTCTATAACAAAAGTCCTTTTCCAAATGTCTTGTTGTTCTAAAATTACTTAATTATTTAAGTACATACTTAGCTATTAACAATTACAATCTCTTATTTGAAAGAACTAATCCTCTTATTAAACTCTAATTTATATTACTAATCCTTAGTTGGACATTATAAATTATAATAAGTGTTTTGCTTATATTTATTTATTTTATCTATTCAATAAAAAAAAAAGAACTTCATTTTCATTATAAAGGGAAAATTATAGATAAAATGTTACTTATGATTAAGGAAATATCTTATTAGGAAAAATTTTAGAACTCCCAATAAGACAATTTAGTGATATGGTATTTATATAATATAGTCAGCTCTATTTGTTATCAAGAAATTAATGAAAATGATACAATAATTTAATTGCCTTGCCATTTGAATCATTATTTCCATTCTTAATGTTGTAAGCAATGGTTAATGAAAGATCTTCGTTGTCCATTATGTAGACATGAATTAGATTCTAATAATTCGAATAAATTATACTCAGATTACTTATGAAATTTATATATCTTATATGATTTATCACTTATAAAAATATTCTTAATATATCTCAGTAATTTATTCTTAAATCTATTCGAAACTAGCCAATTAAAAAAATCTTATTTCAATATCATTTAAACATAATTTTTATTTTCCAACAACTTTCTTGAGTGTTTTAAAATGAACTTCCTTATTTTTTATTACTTAATTTAAAATTATAGTCATAAGTACTCTCAACTAAATTTGAGAATTCTCTAATTTTTCTTAAGGGTCTTTACAATTTTTAGCATTTTTTTCATAATATCGATACACATCTAAAACATATTGACGAAATGCCAATTTTATATCATCAAATTCATTCTCAAAAATATCCTATAATTAATAATAATTATATTACCATTTGAAAATGTTTTTCAGTATCTTTCTTTTTTTTAGTTTAATTTTTAATATTTTCTAAATTATGATCTGTATTGAAAAATGATTTTAAATTCATAATCTAATCCTTTAATACTCTTCTTAAAGTGAAACATTAATCTCCAGAAAATTCAGTTTACAAATATTTTTGAAATTTACACATTACAATCAAAATTGTTTTATCAACAATAAAATTTAACTAATCTAAATATCTCTATTCTTCTTAATATTAATACTTATCTTTAATGATCTTTTTTAAATTTTATAACAAATAAATTCTATATAATTCGTTATGTAATTATTCCCAAATAATTTTGTTTTCATTTATTTATTTATTATAATATAATAAGTAACTCATATCCTCTTAAATTACTTAATCTTCTGGTTCAAATTAAATTATTTTAATTGAACAATAAGTATACTATTCTCTCTCTATAATGATTTAATCAAGTATTTTACAATTATCTTAATAACTATTTATGTAAAATTTATATATATCCTCAGGCAAATTTGATTTAAAATATTCTGCTATTTACCATAATTAAATTCTATTATTTTCTGAATTTAGCATTTTTGCAGTTAACTCTTTTAATTCTTATGATACTGGAGGACATATCAAAGTCTCTAAATAGTTTGAATTAATTTTTGGTTAACATGTTATCAAACAATAAGCTACTT